TCTCTCTCTCTCTCTCTCTCTCTCTCTCTCTCTCTCTCTCTCTCTCTTTCTTTCTCTCTCGCACAGCCACTGTAGCTCTGTCCTTATCGCACACGTTACCCCCCACCCCCTTCTCTCTCTCTCGCACAGTGCCAAGCTACCTCCATTTGAGCTTCTAATCCATCCGCTAGATGGCTATAGCGCTGTTTGTCAGATTTTCACTGCACCACCCCCGCACCGGCCCGCAGCCATCAGCCTGAATATACATGGAATGCACATGGTGTGTATGTACAATTGTACACACATGCAACGTATTGCGTTAACTACTTACCTGGTTACAAGCGAAATCACTGAGATTCATTGTTCTCTATTTATTCTGTATATTAATTAATTTATTTTGATAATTGTATTTCTTATTACAAACAATAAATTACTATTTTCATAGGAATTTTAGAATGGATTTTATTTTAATTTGCATTTATCTCGTTAAATAAATTGCTTTAAAAGTCAAGGTTTAATTAATAGTTTGATTTAAATTAACTTTTAAAAATGTATAAACTGTTTACCGGTTTATCGGTTAAACAGGTTTTACATATATGTAATATATTTGGACAAAAACCAGTTACAAACTTATACAATTTTTGGAATTGCAGGAAAGTTTCGTTGGGAAGCAAGAATACTGAGATATTTGAAAATTGTTTTCTCGTGTAACGGGAATGGAAATTTCTAAAATAAATGTCGAGAATTCTTGAGACAGGATTCTTGAATATCAACGCTACTTATCTAGAATAACTATTTTGCATTCGTAGCAATGTAGTTTTAGTTTACGATATTTTTCGTTCGATAACCTGTCTCATCGGGTGGTGATTGTTACGCACACATAAAAAATTACATACATACATATAGATTTGTATTACATGTTTGATTCGTTCACACGTAAGAAATCATCTCTTACCCGCTGGTATTACATCTCTTGAAATGTGAAAATCTGATGGAAAATGTATCGAGTTTGTTAATGGTCAATGTGCGGAAAGTAGATTAAAAATACAGATCACGATTATACAATATACATGAGAACACCTGCGAATGACCACGTACTTTCACCACTTTAATTGCATTAAAAAAAGAAAGCCGTGCCAGCAAGGACGAGCAATGATTTCAACGAAAATCCGGTCAAAGTCTCGTAATCTAAATCTTACAATTATGGTAGACAACGTAGAATGGTAGAGTAATAGTATGGTAGAAAAATCAAATAGAAGCGTTATCAGGAGTTGCAAGGATACAAATTGAAACATATAGAATCATCGGAAGGATCGAGATTCTCGTAATGTATTCTAAGAAGTAAATGTCAGTAAAATATCAGCTAATTGGAAAATAACATGTACGATGTTTACAAAAATAATTGCTATCCAATTAATAATAATTATTATATCGTATCGTTATGATATACATACGTATATGACGTATTATAACGTGCGTAAATTTTAGTAATTATTTATCACTAAGATTGAAACATACGCATAAAGAAACTAATCTTTACGAGTGAAAAGGAATATGTCGTTGGTACATTGAAAATCTTTGCCAAGGGGTCGCCGCCGGATAAACGCGTTTGGAGAGTTTATCGGACATTGGAATTAGTTGGTATCGCGTGTGATATTACTTTATCTTTCGTCATAGTCAATGTTACAAAGCGATAAAGTAAAACTTGTAAAGTGTCCGAATATTATAGTTACTCACCGTATTTAAAAATCGACAAATGGGATCCAGTATTTTGCAACGTCTACTTGGAAATATGGCGCGGCGTTACGAAAGCTTTGGTGTTACAACGATTCAATCGTATCGTAATCGTGAAAAACTCTACGTGGAAGATGCTTATGCCGAACAGTTGTTATCGGTGGGCCGACGGCGACGTTCTGTCTCCATCAATGGAATTACATTATTACAGCGATGAAAAAGATCGCATCATTGGTATGCGATCGAAGGACGCTACTGGAACTCAAGGATTAGCGTCACTTGCTATCAACTGCCTACTCCGATACATGAATTGCTGGATGAACGAAATTCATGGTTCATGACAAGGTCTGGAAAATTCGAAACGATACAGAGTGTCGAACAACAGTGCAAACACGGGCGGGCAAGTTTGCAACAAACAGACGATACCGCATATTTTTGGAAATCTTGCCTTTTCACGGATATATCAAGTTCATTTAAAATTTTATAAACGGAACGCTTAATTCTTTATTCCCCCATTCGAAAGAGAATCGAATTCTGGGTAAAGAAAATATACGTAAACGTGGGCTACAGATAACATTCGAGAATGAAACTTTTCTTGTTCCAAACACTCGTCGAACGAGTGATAGCTCGGCTTGTTGTGAACAGTGTCAACGTCATCGAGTGTATTTGTATATCAATAAACTTGGGGATACGTGAAATGATGTGCATTCCGTTAGTATTACTTGAGCAGAGATTACAACTACAAACAGCGAAGCCAAGCATTTTGTATTAAAAAAACATCGGGTATATCGAATGGAAATGGAATAAGATCAACGTTCGAAGCAGTTGTTACGAACAATAACAGATATACTCGTACTCGGAGAATGAAGCAATTTTAGCTGGTGATATAGTGGAGCAAGTACATGTTTCCTTAGCGATTACAGTAAATATTTCAAGACTGGCAAATAAGACTTGCCGAGTTCTGACTGCTTTCGTTAATGAGAAAGAGCTTAACTTAAGGGAGCCTGATGATCGGATGTACCTACGTTGTTACGATTTGCGGACAAAGGCAATTTCCAAGGCGTCGTCAAATGGCAGGTGGTTGCGTAACGATGACAACAAGAATTGGTATCTACTTATTACGAATCAGCAATGAATTTTTTACTGAGCTGGATGAACAACGACAACAATGTATTCGGCGGATACACGAGTAAAATTGAAATCGATACTTGCAGTACCTACGAGTCGAACAACTCGAGTAGATACCTTGCCATACGAGGATGGAAAGTATCTTGATACCGCGAAAAATTTCAAATAACGGAGTTGCCAGAAATGAGATAAAAATTGAAATTTTATTGAAATTTGACGAAGAACGGAGATGATTATCGTTTAAGGTGGTAAAGACGCTCCGTAGCATTATCACTAGCACAGTCGGCTCCAAGATTGCGCGGTACGAACACGCGACTTTTAGCGCATCCTATCGTTGAATAGCTCTCGTGCGCTTTCTACATGTACCAGCCCGCCTTAGGTGCGTTAGCACAGATCTCTGGCCCGTAGAGCATGATGGAGTGCGCCACATTCGTTGAAAGCCTCCTTCGTTTGTTGCTTTGATTGCAACAAGTGGAGTAGGTGGCTCGATGTCCATCGTCACTTTCAGATGATTTTGATGACCGGACTTTTTGGTCCCGATAACTGTTGCCCTGAGTGTTGCCCCACTCTATCAAGATCGTAGCGGGAATTGTTTTATCCGTCAAGAGAACTACTTGTATCTTCTCGAGTGCTAAACTCAACCCATGGTCCTCTATCCAGGGGGTTACTTGGCTCGTAGCTGCGGATTTTCCTCTTGTGATTGTCTTGCGCTATTATTACCATCAGCATATCTGCATCGTCTGGATAGCTTGCAACGTAGGTATTTTTCGAAATCTCCTATCGATCTTCCATATCTTAGTTTTGGAATGACTTTTCGTAGATCGAGATCGAACGTTCAAAGTGGGCTCCGGAGGCTTATCGACGCGACCCCGACGAATCATATGTACGAACACGAAGACTGTTGCCGCAATGTTTCGAAGACGATGTGCTTTTTTAGGAAACCACCGAGAGAATCACACCGTATAACGACTGGCCTAATGGCGCAAGAAACAGAAACGGTAATGGACCAATTCGTAGAATAACGACGCGACCTTGCGAGGGTAGCAAAACGACTGCGAGAGGCACGCGAAGCGAACTTGTCGTTGCTCGTTTATTCAAGGCTTCGAACCAGTCCAGGTCCATTCGCCGAATAAGGGTGATGGTGCGTAAGTCTACCTACTTACATTTAAGTACAATGTAAGTACAGTTTTTGATCGAGAAAAGGGAGTTGGTGGAACACTTGTAATTCCTGGAAATCTGGGTTGTAAGTATTTTGTCGATTTTCCAAAGCAACGGAATATCGGTTCTATTCGATTTTAGAAACTGTCTACCTCGCATCGTGGATCGAAGCATACTTGGTCAGCAGAGTCGAACGCGAGAAGTCATTAATTTTTCGAAAGAGAATCCAATAGCGAGGTTCGATCCGCGACGTGGACAGTTCTCGGGACGTACGTTTACCTGGTGTCCCTACCACTTTCTTTGGCCGGGCTGGTGGGCACCGCGTTCTCGTTACCGCGGTCCACGCTGCACTACCGTTCTACTATCTCCTCATTCACTTGGTGATTCGACAAGATCGAAGAACACACGCGCGGATTTTACGTCTCCTTCCGTTTGATCCTTCGTTTACGGTGCGCGGATCTCGACGGAAAAGAAAATTGTTTTTTCTCTGTTTAAATTTTCGAACGCGAGAGCGATCGATCAATTGATCGAAGAATCGATCAATTTCGGATTTAAGAAGTGATTTCGCTTTGGTCGAGCTGTTGGTACGCGCAAAGCGTTGGCCCTCGGTTCTTTTCGAATACGACCAAGTCCCTTACTCTCGTAAGGGAGCATACGAGTAAAGAAGAGGCTAACGTAGGGCCCAGAGTACTTGGAGCCTCGATCGAGATTACATTTTATTCGATCTAAAGGAATTTATTGCGAGCCTTTAAGACTGCCTATTAAGACTGCCGATCGCTGGAAAAGAAACAAAAAAGAAACAGGCAACGAGGACCCGCTGAAAGAGGGTGAGGCGAATTTAAAGCGAGGCGTAGGACGATTGCCGGCCAATCGAGAAAGGATCGTACTTGGCTGAACCATGAAAAGGATGCGAAGCCGTTAAAGAAGGAAATACTCGAGGGGGATCGTGACCGAAGGAAGCGGCGATCACATTCTAACCGAGTACAACCAACAAAATGTGTGTTGCACCTTGGCGATAGAGAAACCTGCCGCGCGTGCTTTTCTTCCTTCCATTCGCTCGACTCCATGAAACTGTTTTGTGTTACATAAAGATGGATTTTACTGGGCCGTAAATGAACCCGGTTTTGCGCGCATATAGGCTACGTCTGTCAGCAATCTTACGTAAGTAAATATGAATAATTTCTTATCCGAAAGTGACGAAGAATATGGACAGAGAACAGAATACGGTTTGCGAATGTAACGGCACGATCCGTGAATGACAGTCACGTATCTTGTCTTGGCAATTTCGATTTTCTAATAACTGTCGTCGCGACGATAAATCGATTTAGCTAAATAAATAGATTTGCAAAAGTAACTATAACAAGGTTTATGGAAACCAGTACCCTACCGAGTACGTAAACTATCTTTTCTCTCGTTTTTCATTTTTCGCCTAACGTTCTCGCGTATTTTGACATTTCTAAGCGTGCATTTAGTACCCACACAGGATGTCAAGAAAGATGATTCGAAAAAATGTGCATATCAGTAGTTGCTGACTAAATCGAATAAAGAGTTCGCTTTCAACGGAAACAGTATTTTTACGGCCCCTAAGCACTTTGTACCGATCGGTAGTTTAGCCGGTACTGCAAGTCTGCACATTTTCTAACCATCCCATCGTCTTTTAGGAACCTGCCGTGGCATGGTATATTTGATATTTATACATGTAGATCACGAAAGAACAGAATATTTATTTTGTCGCGTACTTTTGTTTTGCATATATCTACAGATATGCCATCGTTTGGAAATTTCACGTTAATAGAAAAAGTGAAGTTTCGACGAGGATTCAGATATCGCGCTACTTACACTTGTTACGCGCAAGGGGTTACAGAGGGAAAGACGACCTTTCACCTCAACGAATACCGTAAAGTTCAAGTAAAATTTCTTTCCATTCATTATGTGCGTATGCGTACAGTACGAAAGAAAAGTAAGTAATTTGGACGTACAAGGAAATTAATATATCCACAGCGCGATAAACACTCCGATACGGCATTTAAGCTACGGTAACGAAGGTTAAGGTTGCGAACTTTATCGGTACACTTTCAAACGTCTTGGTAGTCGATATCAAATAACACATGCTACTATTTCACTTTCCGTTTTTGCACATTAAACATTATCTCGCGTCGATAGCGATCGATTATAGGTTTTAGCGTTGACTTTCTAAGAAACAATCAAGGCACCTTCCCATTTCATTGTTCGCCAATGCGATATGGTTTACTCTACACGTACTCTTGCACGGTACGTTGAGTCCAACTACTGAAACTATTATTTGATATTTAGGGCAAGTTCAATTGCCTCGCGGTGTTTGTTGATCAGTCACTGCCAATCGTTTAAACGTCACGGTATACTATATATCGATGTTACCTATAAAATGTTTAACCCTTTTCTCAGATTTGCTAAACAATTACAACAGAATTATTAATTTTAAACTGTTATCACTGATCCGTTAAAATTATATAAAAAATCCATTAAATGTACTAGTCAAGTCTAGCATTGTGCACGATGCAGTTGACCTCAAACAATACCAAACAATTCTTCCTGAAATGTTGCTCGACGGTCTGAAATTTGCGTTCTCAAAAATGCTATTACATAATATAAGATGGTTGAGATAGAGCAACATCCAGTGGAAAAAGAAACTCAGCTTTCTCTTTATTTTTAAGGTCCTCGGTAACGCAACACATTTCTAGATCTTCGCGTTTTGAGTAAAAATGTTGTTGACGTATTAAAACGCGTGCTTTTATGTAATCTAAAACGTAGAGATGAATACGTGAAAAAATCTGAACGAACGATAAGATTTTAATACTCGAACGTGATCTTGCTACCTATACTGTTTGTCCGTCTTGATTCTTCTTTACACTGTCGCAAAGACTCTTTAAACGAGGGTCTGTAACGAGTAGCTAACGCGTGTGTATATGTAGAAAGTGTCTTTGCCAGGAACGATTTCCGGATGCCTTGATGTAGAATAACTTGTCATTAAAACCAGTTGGTCTTTCTTTGTACGACTACCAAGTTTCTAGACGAACCCTGTATGCTTGATCTTAATTCTCGAAATTGTTATGAATATCGTCGAGTTACTCGCGAACAGCTAAACATTACGAAACATAGAAATTTGAAATCGCGTATCTGTATGTCGCGAATAATACAGTATACTTTCAACACAGTTATGGAAGAAAATGCTAATCTTGGCCAGCATTGCGATGCAGACACAACGAGTGCTGCAGTATTGAGAATACTTATTACGAAACGTGTTTGCTTTCTAGAAAAAAACCAATTTGTTTGCTATTGCCAAGACACGTGGACGCAGGAGAGATCAAGTGAATTACTCACTGATGAAAGAGATCATCGATTATACCGAAATTTCACAATGCGTGACTCGAGAATCGAATAGATAAAGCGAATTATCTGTAAGCTCGTTATTGAAAAACGAGTTTATCGATCTTATTGAATTTTTGCCCCTTCAACGAAAGCACCATTCACGCAAAGACTCGATCGAGTTTCGTCTGGTCGCATAACTGAAAGATGATTCAAACTGCAACGAGTCAGGCATTTGCTTCATCGATTCAAAAATCTGGCCAAGTGTATGGTCGTTAACTCGTTGTTATGTAATGCGAAAGAAATATTAGACCTGGCGGTTTCACCGGCGCGGCGGCCGCGGTGATCGAACCGCGCTAAACCAGGGGCGACTGAACTTGGAACATTTTATCTCGCTAATGACATACCAATGCCGATGGCTCGTGCTGCAGCTTCGCTGAGCTCGATTTCTTGCGGTAACGTGATAATTTTCTTTGAATAAAAATCGACCTTGTTGTACCATTACCAAACGGAATTTTTTTTTTAACACAGTACATATATTTTCGTAAAGCAACGTAAACTACCTGCTTTTACTTTCTACTTATCCAAGTCGATAGTTTTTCCTACTAAAATTCAATTCGACAAAGAAATTTAATAATGACTCTAGTTGTAAGTACGATAACAAATTCCTACATGCCTTCGTTTCATTTTACAGATCCGGTTCTTGGCATTTTTGAACATCATTCGCGTACAAAACTAACTATTGTAGAATGTAACGAGCATAAAAATACCGAGTTGTGGTTTCAGATCAAAACCACAAGCTCGAGATAAATACTTCCGTGTTAGTCCTTTCGACAATGATTGGAATTTCCATCTTCTTCTCGTCGCTAATAAGATCTACATACCAAAGGACTACACTTATACACGCAGTGTATACGTTTATATAATACTAGTCGACGTATCATTTCTCCAAGGGTGAACATACTTCATCAGACGGAACATTAAATCAAGTTTCGAACGAGGTACGCAAACGCAATCAACTAAAATTTCGAGACACCAAAGGAAAATTGCGTACGATGAGAATTGAAATTTTGCGAGAAATGATCCGTGATGATTCCTCGAAGCGCTTTATTACTACCGGCATCGTAAGACTGGTTTCTTCCCATCGCTGCTCAATGCTCATACTAGCGCAAGTCGCGAATCAAAGGCTGTAATGTGCAGTGTATACGTAAAGCCAGATTGTTACTGCAATCTAGCGTACAATTTACCACAAGGCGGTAGCACGAAATGAAGGTTAATGCACCTTGTAAATGAGATGTTCGATTGGGCTAATTCTAAATCGAGGAATGCGTGAGAATATGCTGCGAAAACGGTGGCTACGAAACTGTGCATATTTCAGCTATGCAAAACGACACTCTCCAAAATCTTAGCTCGATAAGCGAATCTATGTCGACTTCAACTCTCGTCTCTTTCTGTTTGGTACAGATTATCCCTATATTTAAAGAGCCATTATCTGTATTGTTTGAGCATAAAATGTATTCGTACCGTTGTATCATGAACTGAATTTCACGCTAGGAAGAGTCCATAAATTACTGAAATTATTACATCACGAAAGCTATTCGTTTATTCGCGCACATCGCACCATGCGTTTTCACTTCTTTTGGAAACGTCGAAAGGTTGTGAAAGCATGATCTGATTTAGGTTCTCGGTGCAACAACAGAAGGAAATGTGCCCCGTACTTGTTTCTATCCCTTCTTCTCGTCGCGAATGGAAAGTCTGGAATCATAGTTCTTCCTTCGCAAATAGGCGGCCTGTGAACTCGAAGTCGTGCAGAGTCCGTTCGTCCTTGCGGTCATTATATTTTCGCTTGGTTGACTGGTAACGGATGCAAAGCAATACGTGTCTAACCCCACGGACATTTCAATGAAAACGAATGATTTTTAAGATACATAGTTGACCTAACCCAGTTGACATAGAACGTATTGCAAAGCGATAAAAAGCATTTTTCAAAACCGTTTTCTTGATTTAGTTGAATGAGACATAACGACAATTAATTTAACAAGCTTAATTAAAGTATAGTTGACGTAAAATTATCATTTGATGTTTAAATAAATGTTGGCCGAGTTAGGTAAAATATGAAATTTTATAAATAAAATCGTCGTGCGACGCGACCGACGCGCGACATAGGTAGCGCATACAAAAGTTGATTCCTGGAAGGAGATGCGGAGGATCGTATCAGGTCGGACGTTTTAGTCAGCCGCCTTCGAAGGTCTGCGACAGAGCATAAATTAGGGGAATGTAGACACCGTCTACATTCTTCTAAATCCGTGCTTTTTTTACGTTTCGCTTAACCCAGGAATATCATCTTTCCAACTTCCAGCGATAACTGTTTGAATTTATATTCTGCTTATTCCACATCACTGCACATTAATTTGACAACCGAAATTCAAAGTAATATACTTCATAAAGATATAAATAACGATTCTGCGTCAAAAAGAAAAATGTTATCTCCGTCCTTTGTTCCACAGTAAACGTAAATGTTGAAGGTTGCGAGAGAAAATGTTCAAAAGATGGAAACACAATAAAGATAAAACCTGCCACACGAAAGCCAGTTTAAGCGTTTTTCGGTTCTCTACGGTTTCTTAGGCATATCCATACATACTTAAGAAGAAAAGAAAAAAAGAAACGGATTTAAATATTGCACGGCCTTCTCGAATATATTCCCTAAATTGATATTATTGAAAACATCTGAGGTTTATCGAATAAAGTGTCTCGTAAACATTATAGCGAGTCGCTATCGTATAGCGTCTCGTATACGTGTCTCGGAAATATTAAACTATCCAAGTGATTCTGACGTATTCTGCTTCCTATACATACACATATAGGACATACATACAGGAGATATAGGAGAGCTGAAGAAATTGAGCATTACACCTATAATATATTATCTCTTTGCATCACGTTTCTGCTTTCACAATGATACTTGTTCCTGGGAGTAGATTAAGTGAAAATAGAAAAGTAAATCATACGCGGTCAGAAAAGTGGTAGAAAGGGAGCGACAAATCTAACGGGGACAATAACACACGTACCAGCCACTGATTGATGTATACGTAACATACATAGATATACATGTTCATATGTCGTTAAACATTTCTAAAGGCCTTGAAGTAATGCAACGTAACTCTCCCTTAATTTGTCGAGTTTTGCAAACTTTGGCGCAATCGCGAGACTCTTTTTGCGGTGTAACATGTGCGTTTACCAGTCTCTATTCGAACCGTTTTCTCTGGCATTTTTCAAACTTGTTTCATTGATACACGTGTTAAAAAATTATTCAAAAATTACTGTTAACAGACGACGTAAAATTCTTGCGATTTTACCATTATTTTACACGATTTATATCCATAATTGATCAATGATTCTTCAGGTAACGTACGAGTAAAAGTGAGATAATGGGACAATGTATGGCTTACCGATCTTGACGCGAGTACGTGTCGCAAAATAAAAATAATGCTGCAATCGTTCTTAGTTGGTTTCATATACGTATAATATTTGTAAAGTTCAATCAACAGGAAATGCTTTTTGTTAAATATATTAAATGACTTTATGTGTTTATAAATCGAAATAAGTATTTCTTACGCAATTGTTAATTATAATAAATTACTTATTAGAAGGAAAAACAACAAAGATATTTTCTGTACAAGTAACTAACAGTAAGTTATACAAGAATAACGCTGAGTATACACTAGCGCTTCGATATTCTTTTATACTCTTTAACGCTAATATACATATGTGCATAGCATGTGGACGGTGTACGTATTTTGTATTCCTTTAACAATTCAGTCAAATATTATCTCTTCTGTTTGTAAACAAGATATTTGTATTATGGCTCGGAAAACGTTTTCCTTCGGTTACGTTCATCTTTACTATTGCGTTATTGTTTGTAAGGATAGGAAGCGAAGACAAATATTTATATGTCATCTAGTGCGACAACTTGCAATCTTTCACTGTCCTTGACACCAAAAAAATGAGGAAAATATCGATGAATAACTATTTTTCTCGTTTGTGTCGGAATACTGAATTATGGATTATGGATAATTATCACATCGAATGCCGCAGTTTTTTTGGATAAAACAATTACCGATGCAACCGAACGCATCGGCGCCTGTCGGCCTCACTTACAACATTACTCGGAACATTTTTATTTGTTTTGTCAAGTATCGATTGATAAATTTAATCGATCATAAGTCGTCCATCATTAATTGTCAAATGCCGTGGGCAATAAATGATTAATTTAATCGTTAGTTTTCACGAGCTATTAACGATTATCCATTACGAATCATTATCGAGATTCGTTATTCTAATCAAATTTGTTCCATCGCTGTGTTACGACAGTGTTTCACAAACTGCAGACAGCAAAGATATTGGCTATAATCGTAACTCTTAATGTTAAAGAAAGAATAACCTTGGCATACAGGAAAGCACGAGTATATTAAATTGTAATTTAGTTGAACTGATCTCGACACGAGTATACTGATATATTGATACATTTCTCTGCAATTTGTATGGAGTCAGATTCTGGAAACCGATCATTGGGATAGCTCTTTTATTTTTAGAAATGAAAGAAATCGGTTTAAAGTGGAAACGTCGAGAGCACTTCAAGGTAATCAACCTTTTTTTGAATTGGAATAATACATATTTTAATCGACCTTCTCACAGTGCTCTATAAGACTAGTACGACTTGTGTTCAAGGTTGTTGAACATCATTCATGGTCAGCTCGAACAAGTATTTTATCTCGATGAACAGCGAGTGCATCGAATCGTGATCTCAAGCAGCGATGCACGGTAAAGCAAATTGTTATGCAAATTATTGAACTCTGAATTTCATTTTGATTCGGAGTGGTACTTATACACTTGTTAGTTTAGATTTGTTGTAGAAATAAGAGCATGGTAAATCCAAAGACCAGTTTTAGTTGCTCGATTGGTTCAACAATCTTAAATCGGTAAAGTGTCGGAATTTGTACGGAAGATTATACATGTACGATGGGTCACGGAACTCGATTATTCATTATTCCATACCTTGTCCGTTTCAACAAAAAAACGCATACTGGTATGTTAGGTTTATTATTCGAACCTTTCTTTATTGTAGAACAGGCATACAATTATAAAAGCATAGGGAAATATGAAAGTTCAAAGAACCTGAATACGAAAACGGAGTAATATATGCAGGCTGATAATATAATTGCACTCCTGTCGTAGATAATTGTCTATGAATGTAATAATTAGAATGTTTAATGATAATAACGAGTACGACGCTCTTATCATAACTACACGTTAATGTATTTGAATTGCAAAATATGATTCATTCATATATAGGTCAATAACGGAATTTAAAATTTAAATAAAACAAGACAGGAAAACGTAAAAAGTGAAGGGAAAAGTAAATGAAAACTATATATTATAGTTGAAACGAGAGATCGAATCGGTATTGCGAATATCCGATAAAACAGTAGGATTTCTACCATGGAATTCCACTGTAACCTCAAAAAGGAACCCGGATACTGCCGATATATTGGTATGATGTCAGAACAGGAGATTTATCAATTCGAGAGAAAAAAAAAGCAAAAGTCGAATTTAACGAATTTAACGAACACAAATCGAACGGCTGCTCTGTCGCTTAAATCCAAAGATTTGACACTCGATAGATCGCCGATGCTACTTTTACGGAGAGATGGTCAGTATTCTACTATTGCGAATCAATCTTCGTCTAGATAACTATTCGGGTAAAACTATTTTATCTTTAATAAAATCATTAATTCTGACAATCATTACTAATTATTCGTTATTTACAGTGTTTGACTGTAATAGATAAACGTTTATTCATTTATGATGTGTATAAAGTGTATTCGTTCATTCAACCTATGTATACAGAGTGTTCATTAGACAGATAAATAGGTATCCTTTCAGGAAATGATTCTAATATATTTTTCTGTTTTGTATATTTCCTCTTACCTCGCATAAATTTCCAATAACGTTCAAAATACTTTTATGTACGAGATTCACCAACGAGTTATAATAGAAAAGTGGATGCTGTACATACAGGTATATTGCTTGGATAATCCTGGTTGATGGTAATTATGTAATCGATGGAGAATCGATAGGCCTAAAAGAGAGTTACGCAATATAAACGACGTACAACTTTCTTTTTCATAACGAAAGTTGTACGGATAAGAACATTGCCATCGTTCAAGAATAATTACATGACCGTACAGTGTACACTCTTATCTTATCACGGTTAACACTTTAACGATCAATTTCTTGGTTACACTATACGCTATAACCTTATTCTCGAAATTGTTCCTTTATGGTTGTAGCGCGAATTAGGGGACAGACACCTTGTACTATGCAAAATAATGGAAATTTCGTTGACGTCATTTGAATAACCGTTCCCGAAAGGTACATATTTGAGATAATTTATGTCCTTAGCGTTATACAGCTTCCTTTAGTCTCACTTAAAGGAGGGAAATAATTTTGAAGATCATTGGTAAAATTACATTGAAAACAGTCCAACTTAGTAATGTTATTTACTTTGTCTTTAGGTTTCAGACAAGGACGACTCGAGTATCGACACCAGTAACAGCGCAGTGATCAAACAAACGTTGCAGCTGATCGCTCGAATCGGACATAGGAAGGAGTATTTCGGTACTGAAAGTAAGATCACCATGAAAGTGTAGAAAGAGATAAGAAAAACTAATTACGTTGCTATAAAAAATAAATGATGTCCGTGAACGATATTTTAAGGACAGATCGCATGGATCCATGGAAACAATGCTCGGAGAAGTGACGTGAACCGTACTTTTCAAACGTAACGCATCGTAGATTAGCTGTAACGGGATTTCTATATTACGGTAACAACAAATATAGCGCAAGATATCCAATTAACTTAATTATTGCATTTTAATAACAAAACGCAAAGGATAAAAGCGTAATTATTGGCTGTATTGCTGATTAGATTGTCCTGCATCGTGTTACCGTACCGTACCGTACCGTACCCGTACGTCAGTGCGGTAGTATCGAAGGCCTCCAGAAGAGAATAACGGTTATGAGCCAGTCACATAGTGAGAAAGCTTGAAGAAGAATTGAAATTTGTGTTATTCGCGCGTCCTTCGATTGGCCAAGAGTTCAAGATGAAGTTCATAGGGTCTTTGTTCGGGATCAGATCGCCCAAAACGATGGGCAAGCAGTACATGAAAGTTGGAAGAAACGCTCTTTTCGGTCCAAGGACAGATCAACACGATAGTCTCTGCACGGACAGGGTTCCAAAACCTCTATCATTCCTCATTTCTAAAAACGGCAAACTTAAACATGGTAAGATACGTTCTGTTGATTTATTTTCTATCTATAGAGTTAACTGCACGATCCCGTCGGCGCGGCGCGTTACAATAAAGTAGCGCGCATAGATTATAATGGATAATTTCTAGTCGGAAAAGAATTAAATATTTATTCCATAGAATATGTGTTTGATACCGATAGGAAATGTAGGTACTGTGCAAAGACCAACAAAATTCGAATGAATAAACATGTCGATAAGGAGAAATTTGCACAATTATTCATAATTATCACATGTATATGTTAATTGACAAATACAATATATATATGTGCAAATTTATTTGCAATTAACTTACATATACATTATTTTCATTTCAAGACTACCTTGACCTTTCTTGCTTTTATTGTTGTTTAAATAACTTTCAAGGAAGACTACGATCAGAAATCGACATCGAAACAAACAATTTTTTGTTACAATGTATGTATTGTCTTATAAATGTATTTCATCCGATTTGATTACCTTTTGCTTGTTTTCAAAGAAATATTAACGTTGGTACAAGCGATACTCGTGAAAATACTTGTTTAAATCTTCCTACTTCCGTTTAGAAAAGCGTAATTGCACCAACTTCCTTGATTCCACCTCGAAAACAGGAAGAAATTCTTAACTCTGTTAGAGAAACTTGAATTATCATAAGAAATTCTCGTTTTCTCCATCGTATGGAATGCACTAGTTAGATGGTTTCAGCTCAAGTGCCCGGTCAACGAACGAGCTCGATCAACGATACGTAACATTATTTCGATAAACTTGAAATTGTATACGTTTTGGTAGAAAATTTACAGAACAGATTTTCGACACCTTTCTATTCTTTTCACTCTTTTGATACTCACATTCGTTAGCCATACTCATCGTAACCTAAAGTTTCTTGCGGTTCGATTGAAAAGTTTCAGGAAAGCGGATACAATCTCTATCGTTACACGTAGAACTGTACTCCTAGACCGGTGGAACTAGCGACCGTAACCGTTAAGTGTGTTGGTGATAGTAAAGCATAATCGGAGTGATGCGTAACATGCAATAGTGGGACAACCTGTCTCCTCTATCACTTGTCCTACTAACCTACTGCACTTTGAACTTGGTTGATCATGCGTTTTACCTCGATCAGGTATCCTTTGATTGATTCGTATCATGCATTTCTTTTCGCACAAATGTCAGCAGAAATTGCAGCGAACAGCTGATACAAACTTGCTTCGTTTCTTCAACGAATTAGAATCTTTGAATTCGAACGACACGCGACGTCTCATTACCAACGTTAATTCGAGTCTTCTCGTACAATATACAGATTTGTTGTTCAAACTGTAAACGTTTCCCTTTAAAATTATGTACTCGGGATATTTCGAACATTAATCTAAATGTCTATTAATCACATGTCGATCGTTGATTTCCGTTTCCGAGGTGAAAGTTGCCGGATCTATCGTGAACATTGAAATCGTTTACAAATAAATATATTGTACCCATGTTCTTGACTCATTTTCTCATGTTATTCGACAATTTCTAATACAGATCTAGAATGCATTTAATCATTTTTATTAGCAAGTACTCGTAAACATTATACACCATACTAGAATTGTAGAATTATACTTTTCGAAGAAGAAATTATTAAAAGGTTCAAAAGTAAGAAGTATATACAGTATACGCTATAGTTCTATCACTATACGATATATGTGTACGTGTATGTATTCATCAGCTGCGACTATCGACTTTCTAATAACGAAGTACCTACCGATGACGAGAACGCGTCACTCGAGAAATTCATTAAGGGGCTACTCTTGTATTTCATATAGCATTTAAATCAATTAATTTATTGACTAGTGAAAAGTACCTCATCTCCTTATTTCTTAAAGGCATTCGCATGATAAACAATAGTAACATTTCGGAAACATAACGATTTTTTGAACACTGTTAATAATTTGTTTGCGACTCTTACATCAGCCATGGTGAACATATTACTCATTAACGTATTATGACTTTTCAACATAATGATAATGTTACAAGTATAACACTAAACGGCATAGTGATTGTAACGGTCACTATAGTTAATTGCAAGGAAGAAAAAGGGGTGGACGTAAACAGACTCAAGTACACGTTTGTTTTTATATTAGAAGATAACGTAACAACTAGAATTCCCGTACACGTTTGTCCTAAGGCAACGTTCGTAACATATTCAAAGAAAATGTCAAAAGATGTTGACGACTAACCCTTTGTACTCTGAGAATTCTTCATAATATACGATCGCATCTTCTATTTTTTTAAATGCATAAAATTCCTATTGACACGTAATCGTACCCATTAATAGAACAAATGATCTATTTTTAATCATTGTACTCTGAAAATCCGCGAGGACTGGTCTAATTAGCAGCAGAGCCCCGTCACCAAAAATTTCATACGGTCAATCGTGACGCTCCGAAGCTTTTCTACCTGATCGTCGCGTCGAGGGACCCTTCTATTGGAATGCAGTCAGGGTTACAAAACCGCACCTGTCCAAACATTTTTACATGGCGAGTTGCAAAACGTAGAGGCCCGTTATTTATGAAGTATAAACTGGCGTGTATACCGAAACCGAGGTGGCACACACGTACGCGCACTCAAACAATTTCGTGACTACTTTCACTCTCGACTCTCAGTCAGTCGTTCAGAGAAACGCTGGATGAAGCAGGGTCCAGTGGAACGCAGGCATTTTTGGTTCGATTCACTGGCTCCTGGCTCCGTCGCGTCTTTGATATTACGTATTTGAATGATTATTAAGTAACCGTACCGATGGGATCACCTTATAATTTGGAACATTCATTGCTGGTATTCGCCGTCGCGTCGGTACCGAAGTACCACAAAAGGTCAAATGCGTTCAAGGGACTTTTTTTCGTACAATTCTCTGCGTTACAAATCACAACCTTTGATCTGGTTTGCTTTTGATATAGAATGGTAAAGAGCATGGAATACCTAAAATGAAACATTTCACGTTTACGATCGCCAAACTAACAATTTTTAGACCGTGAACGAAATATAACGGAACAAGGTACACTGGGATTGGCTATCTATGTATTGTACAATAGCAGTTTTGTTAGCCGAGCTTTCTCCATGTTTTACTCAACTGATTTTCGTTAGCTTTAACGAAAAGTCCAAGAAATATAGTAATGTATCTTTGCTTCCTTTATTATACGTCCCGTTGAATTTAACGGAAACGTGTTAGCGACGCAGTAGAGTGAGTAAAGTGTGAGCAAACATTTACATTATTTTTCTCAAAATTGGAATTATGATGTAGGAATGTCGAGAATTTCCGTTTCGTAAAAAGGGAATATTGACATTTCAGTCTGGCATTGAAATTGGTGATCGGTAAGTTATTTCTTAACGCTGTTGTTCACCCTAGTTCGTTGAAACTCTGACGAAATTTAACCAGTTTCGTTGAAAAGATGCTTGGTTCGATACCCACGCAGCGAAACAGGCTAAAATGTTAGAAGCTCCTCTCTTTAATCTACAGACGTGATATATCATGCTAATGGAATCTTTGACGCAATACATACACCAATGTATGTATCCATACCTCGGGCATCATGAGATTTCTTGATTGACCCGGACCCCGTAGTTGCGGTACTCCAGTCCTTTACAAGGACATTTTCGAAATGTATACCAAGCTTCTCGTCATCTTTCTCGAGAATCCTGTTAAATGACCTTGAGGTGAAAGTGCCACTTCTCGTTGATAAAAAAGAAACGTTCCCAACGACTGCGCGTTAAAGACATTACGAATTATATCGTTTATTTAATAGATACACAGGTTATATATTTGTAAGTTTGTTTTTCTTTTACTTTCCAGGTAAAATTTCAGCGATTTGCATAGGAATTCTAACGCTTGTAATCGGTATTATTTTAAGTAGTATACCTTGGGTAGACTATATTATTTTAAAGGTATGCGCGAGATCATTTCTTTCCATTAAACTAAACGAAAGTTTTGTATTTAGCTTATATTTTTCTAGTTATCTTATTCTTTTTTCCAGCAACTACGGTTATGGAATGGATCGCTTTCCTTTCATTACTGGCAAAAACCTGGGGTAGTTCGACTGACCAAGGTATACATATTCAATGTAACGAATACCGAAAATTTCTTGCAATTCAACGAGAAGCCAAAACTGCAAGAAGTCGGCCCCTTCGTTTACAAGTACGTCATACATAAACGAATAAAAATCGATTTCACCCGAAATAAAATGCATCTTTCGTTATTGGGGATCTCAATAAAAAGGAATTAATGTCTATTTTGCAGAGAAGACATGGAAAAAGTAAATATTGTTTTCCACAACAATGGCACGGTGAGTTATCAACACAAGAAAATATTAAATTTTGTACCAGAGTTGTCAAAGGACAAAGACATGAGACTAATGGTGCCAAACATTCCATTACTAGTAAGTAAACATTTGTGAACGTGTAGATCATTATTCGAAATAATATTTTATAAGTTAACCATTTTGTTTACTATGTAACATCGGATTCGTACTAACAAAACATCATACGTATAATAGGTGTACAAAGGTTCTAACATAAAAATAAAAATTTATTACCGCGAAAAAAATGAATCGATATTTTTCAGACCGTATCAACGCAAAGCAAGAGTCTACCTCGATTTATCACTCTAGGATTATCCATGTTTTTGAGCGGAATGCATATGCATCCATTTGTTCCTGTAACTGCTCAAGAACTTGTTTTCGGATATGATGATCCATTAGTTAGCATCGCGCACAGATTCTTTCCAAAAACGAGGCGTCCCATGAGTCAAATGGGACTTCTTCTCGGGGTAGGCTAAAATTTATTAGAATAGTATTACTATAGATATGTGGTATCGCAAGATGGATGTATAACGAGCAATGATCATATAAATTGCAGAGAAACGGTACGTTAAACGAAGTGTCTACCATTTTTACGGGGCATACAGACATGAAGGAGTTCGGATTAATAAATCGTCTAAACGGGTTAGATCGTTTGCCCTATTGGCCAGATGCTCCTTGTAATTCTATTCGAGCTTCTGAAGGTAAATGTAACTAAATAATACTAATACCCGTGACATAACGATATAACATTTATGGTACTACTGTTCCTAATTATAGGTTCCTTTTTTCCACCTCGTGAAAAAACTGGCGCTGATATCGTCCATCTATGGGATAAAGATATTTGCCGCACTTTGCCTCTACAATATCGCGGTCCTAGTGAAAAGTCAGGAATCAAAGCAGACTATTACACACCTCCCGATGTTGTGTTTGGTCTACCCAATGAAACGGCTCCACAAAACGAGTGCTTCTGTTCCAACGACGCGTCGACTTGTTCTTCGAACGGACTCCAAAATATCAGTCCTTGCCAGTACAGTACGTAAATACTTGCCAGTAGAGTAATGTAATGTTGAGAAAGTAATAATAAATGGAAATAAAAAAAGAGTCATTAATAAAATAGGTATAATCGCGATTCACTAATACCCGTTTTTTGTAAATTTTAGGTGCCCCAGTCTACCTTTCCTTTCCGCACTTTTATAAAGCGGATCATAAATTACTAGATGCAGTCGAAGGATTGAAACCAGATAAAAAACTACATGAAACGTACTTTAAAATTCAATCGGTAAGCGTCGGGGTCGGGGTCGGGATCGGCGTCGGCGTCGTCTTGTAATGGGTTGTAAAGTAACGCAAGCAGATCGTATTAAAAATACATATACATATTTTTGCTGGCAATATCGTTGTACGTTTAATTTGATTTTGTATTGCAGAAACTTGGTGTACCGCTAGAAGGAAAAGTTCGACTGCAATTAAATTTAAAAATCGAGCATCAACCAAATGTTGGCGTCGTATCGAATTTCCCTGACATCGTGTTCCCGATTATGTGGCTCGAAGAAGGTATCGAAGAACTAACACCTTCTATACGGAGATGGATTTATTTAGCAACGACGTTCAGCGACATTGCTGTGCCTTGTACCTCGTATGGATTGATTCTAGTCGGTACGATAATTATAATCACCGTTTCCGCAAAGGTTTACAACAACGCGGTATTCACTCACGAAGCGATCGAATTAGGTAAACGAACTATCAGAAGAGGTTCGACGATGCTGGTAAATGGACAGCACAGATTATTAGCGACACGTGACTCGTACGTTTTGCTTAGCAATAGTAACGATGAAAAATCAGAGAGGATAGGGGTCCAATTTCCGTAGTGACAATTTCGTGGATAATAGCCACGGTATCTTTAAGTATGTACATTGCGTCGCGCGAGATCGAATAGTATCACGTAACGTTTGATCGATTAACACTATACACCAAAGTTTCATATACCTTCTATATACTTTAAGAGGGTGATGATGCGTATCAGTTGCAATAGCCCGTATTTGGCAAACCATCAATAATTTCTGTACGAATTATGTAACACTTTCTGTATCTGTGATTTCACTTGTTTATTTATATCGCCAGTGTACCGCGGTACGAGATACGAGATACATAATAATAATATCGTGCTTGAACGAATAGAACCAGGTAAGGAATTATCGATCGAAGAAAAACACTAGAACTTTCGTTCTAGCAACGAAAACCCTCATTCTCTAGATCCTGATTCGGAATAAGCAAAGAATACAACATTCAGTTTAATGTAACAAAATAAAACTTGTACTTAATCAAAACCATACTGTGGACACGAATGTATTAACAATATTGCACTTCAATGATATTCGCGAGTGGACCTATTCCACGATTTACGCGGCTGGTCGGTTTCTCGGAATACCGTGTAAGTCTAAATAATGGGTTTATGAAACGACTGTTTGATTGAAATTCTATTAACAAATAAAAATATACAATTCAAAATAAATTTAAACTTAAAATTAATCTTATAGATAAACAATATTTGAAGTTAATAACGATAATCACGAATCGTTAAGTTCCATTTGAATTTCCTCTAGAGATTTTCCTTTGGTTTCGGGGACTAGGAAGTATACAAAACAAATTCCAATAGCGCAAATAACAGAAAATAACCAAAATGTACCGCTTTCATAAATTGCTGCTTTTAAATTAATATAAAATTTAGTTATAATGAAAACCATTACCCAATTTATAAGTGTGGCGGTACTTGAAGCTATACCTTTCACTTCTGGTCCAAAAATTTCACCCATCATCATCCATGGGATAGGACCAAAACCCAAGGAAAACATGATAATAAATATACATATAGAAGCTAGAGGTAACCATTCGATTGAGCTAGTATCATTTATATTATCGTAAAGGTAAAAGTAAACTCCAAGTGCGAAAGTTGTTAAGAACAAAAATATTATTGATGCTAATAGCAATATTCTTCTACCTAAATAGTCTATAATCAAAGTACTTACGAAAACAGCTAGCACCTGCATTATACCTACTAAAATAGTCGAGTATTCAGGTTTAAGAGAATTACCAGCTGATCCAAAAATATCGCTAGCATAAAATATAACAGTATTTACGCCGCTAAACTGTTGGAAAAACATAAGACCATAAGCGATTATAAAACCTTTCAAGGTTGCTCTGGATTTAAGTAAAGTCAGAAAAGGAATTTTTTTGTTTTTAGATTCCTCCAATCCCTCTCGATGGCGTTGTAATTCGTCATCTATATCATACTGTTCGCCGCGTAACCTAATTAAACTTTTTCTGGCACACTCTTCGTTACCTTTCTTTAAGTAATAAATTGGTGTTTCCGGCATAAACATAAAAACTCCGAAAAATACTAGTGGCATAATAGCAGATATAATAGACAAATCACGTATATTCACAACGGTTCCCAAAACATACGAGAATAAAATGCCGACGGTAAGAAGTAACTGAAAATAAGATCCAAGGCGTCCACGAATGCTATTTTCAGCTATTTCGGCTGTGTACAATGGTGCAACTACACAAAAAGCTCCAACGCTAATACCAGTGATGAATCTTCCAATATAAAACATGGCCACGGAATTAGCGAAAATGATGAGCAGCCAACCTATAGTAAAGGGTACCACCATCAACAGCATCGAATACTTTCTTCCAATCACGTCGGTAAGAATTCCAATAGGAATACTTATCACTACGGATCCAATTGCAGCTGCTGACCCGATCCATGAAAATTCTTCTTCAGAAATTGGAAAGCCATACTGAACATGTATTTTGTTATTTCCGTTTTGATCGTTACCAGCAGAAGAAGTCCATCCTAATACCATGCCAGATGCCAAAGCCCCAAGAGTTGCTGATAAACTGGCAATATATTGGACCAACTTTTTACCACTTGCAATTCCATCTTGACTGTTTAAAATTGTTTGTTGTGAAATTCCAATGGTTTTTTCATCCATCTTGTTGAAATTTTGTTGATGGACACCTACAAGTAATTAGACTAATTTATTTCCTGTAAATAATAGATTATTCTTCTAACACATGTCAGTTACATTTGTCAGAAGGTTAATTCAATCTTATCTGAAATATTCTTAATTTACATGATTAATTACATGATTAAAAATTTCATAATTTTTCAATAAAAGTATCGTAAGAATAAACAAAAATTTGTATGTACAATCGTTTGTTTAATTAAAAATAACGTAACACTACGTGTTCTAAAATTGTGTAGTTTATAAGAAAGAAAGAAAAAAATACTTCATTACTGAAACTCCGAAAACTCAATATGATTGTATTTTTGCGTTCTGTTTACTTACCGCGTTAATCGAACAAAATCGTAAAAAGGTTGTGAAATATTTTCAATGCCAATAGAAATCGTTTCGTGTTTCAAGTCCGGTTGTACGTTAAGAAATACAATACCTGCGGATACAACCTAATCGTTACCTTGACTGGTATTCGTTTCTTATCAGCGATATGGCTAAATACAGATTAAATTTAATTTAATCGGCATAAATGTTTTATTGCGTTTCGTTAATGCCAATTACAATTACTGACTACACATGTAACGTGTATGTATTATTGATGTTAACTGTAGTATTTTTTTAATTATAATTTACAATCTAATGCTATATTTTTGTTACACTTGAATGATAATAACCTTTCAATTCGAAAAATGTACATGGGCATAAATATTAAACGTAAGCGAAATAAGGCATACAAATAAGAAGAAAACTATCTTATCTGTTCGATAAAATGAAACCTTGAACTACTAAGAAATTTATTTGTCCAATGTGAAGTACGTGATACAATGATATAAAAAATTCGTACATTATCGCGAAAATTTATCTTATCTTGCATATCTACTAGTTTCTTAAAGAATTTGCAGGGTTAACAGTATTTTCCGTAAACTAAATTTTAACATTGGGAAATCGTGATTAGTTTTTTCTATTATATGTTTTAAATATTGCTGGTAAGTGTGTTCTATCTTCATATTTTCCTCTATTATGCTTCCATTTCTGTAAATCATTTTATAATTACCAGTCTTTATATTATATAATTGTTTTACTTTTCTTTGCTTAAGTATTAAGCTATGCAGTTTCTGAAAATTAATGGACAGAAATTAAATTTTTGTCGAGTTTTATATACAGTATTTTCCGATGAAAAACGTACATGATATTTTAACATTTCAATTTGATTAATTTCGTCTTCTATGTTTGAAATGTGTTCTTTTAAATTTCGTAATACTTGGCGAGAATTGCTAAATTTATTCATTGTGCCGTTTATTTCACTTTTCAATTGTTCCACTGCATCGCCAGTTTGTTTTATTATCTATTAATTTAAACAAAGATATAAACTTGATGAGTTTTTAAACAATTAATTCCATAAAAATCGTATTTACTTTTGAGAATTGCTTGATTTTTGATTGTTGGCCAATCAAACGTTTATGCATCGTAACCTTTTCGTTATGGCGTTCTTTCGGATTTTTGTTAAGTCTACCAATTGCTTTGGTTATTATAATATCTCTTCTTCCAATACAAAGTTCCATATCATGAATTAACTTTTCTTGAATTCTTCTTAAATGTGAAAGTCTCATTTCCATCTTATGTATTTCATTTTTCATTGACGGTATAGCACCGGCGCTGCGTTCGTCTTTAATTTCTTTTATTGTCTCGTGTAGTAACTGTACCTTAATTACATAATTATTATAAAAACATTAAACGTGAAAACGAATTTTACGAAATATATTAAGTATCAAGTAAATATGATGTTACACCTTTTTCTCCCATGATGAATTCTCTTGTTGTGTAGATTTTAATTCTTCCTTTAATGCCATTTTTTCATTGGATGAATTTTTTAAATCACTCTGTAATTTTATAAGTTCTAATTCGAGTTCTTGGAAAGATAAAATGCATTCATTTTTTATTATACAGTTTTTGTCTTCCAAATCCTCTTTCAGATCTTTTTGTATCACTAAATCTGAATTGATATGCAAAACTTTTTGCGTGAGAGAAACTATCATCTTATTTATATTTGCTTCTTCTTTTGTAAGCATTTCTAACATGTATTCTAATTTAAAATTTTTTTGCCCCATTATCATAATTTCTTTGTCGAGAAGATTTAACTCCCGTAATTGCGATTCTCTCTGATAACTTAACGAAACCATAAAACCTTGTTGACGCATCCAGAATTGTTGTAATTTTTGAATATTCTGTACAAATTCTTGAATATTTTTTGTTAAACTTATAATTTTTAAATCCTGCAGACCAAAATCTTCGCTACCAATGTTTGGTGCAATCTAGAAATTATTTGTTTATAAATAATTTTATTTTAAATTGGTTAAGATATGCATTAATTTTACAACCTGTTTTATAAGTTTATTTATCCCTAGAAATTTTCTTTGCTTCCTTTCAATTATAGTTTCATACTTTTCTATGTCTCTCTCCAATTCATCTAATTGTTTTACTTTTTCTTCATTTTTTTGCAAAAGTTCCTCTAATTCTACTTTCTGATTCGCTGTGAGATTTTTCAGTCTCTCTAATTTCAAACGATTATTACTGCACAAATTTTCTAAACGCGCGACTGTGATTTCATGTTGTAACACAGCAGTTTTTGTATTTAATAATAATTCATTTATATATTGTGCTGTTTTGTCACATACAACTTTCTCGTCTAACTTTTTAAATATCGTGTCTTCTACGTTATTCTTTTTTTCAAGAATAATTTCAAACTTCTTATTTGCTTGCTGCTCCGTGTACGAGCAATTCTGATATTTCTAGAAATATACCATTGTGTAATATTAAGTAATGCCTTATGTATCTAAGAAATATATCATATTGGACATACAGCAAAAATAATATTGTAATCACACTGTGTTTGCTCATCAACTTTTGCTAATTTTATTAATTGCAATTCAATGTCTGCAATTTTTTCATTATACATTGATATTTTTTTCGATACGATTCGAACATCATTGTCTATACGAAACGATAAAGATGTCAAATGTTCATTCTTTTCCATCTCCTTTTCTGTTTCTCTCTTGACTTTACGTATTTCCAATAATAGTGCATCGTATAATTTATTAACTTCTCTAAGAAATACATGCTACATTAAATATAAAGTCATGTTACGCATTTTGTATAATAAAGGTTTGGTCGTTGGCATATGCTGACAATACATATAGTAATGGTGGCACAAAGAGCAGAGAGCAGAGAGCAGAGAGCAGAGAGCAAAGCACAGTATGGGGAATAGGGGAACGCAAGTTCAGAGTAGACTTTGAAGGAAGGCTACTAATGTTTGACAGTCTAGTATTGGGAATTATGCTATATGGTGCAGAAGTTTTTGGACGGAAAAAGACGATAGAGTTAGCAGAGGGGTACAAATAAAAAATATAACAAGTTGGAAAGAGGGGAATCAAGAGAGGAAACGTAGAGGGGAGGCCGAATGAGAGGGTAGCCGAGTGGTTAAGAAAGATAGAGAAAGAGCGAAAGGAAAGAAGGGGTAAGTATCTAAATAGGAATATATGTATAGCTAAAGATCAAAAATAAAGTTATTGGTTAGAAGATGGAAAAGTGTACAGGACCTAGGATAGTTTGACGTCAAGCTTTTGTAGTAAGTTTGAATAAAGTACTGGTAGATCAAGTATTATTGGTAGATAGTAGAATTAGTATGTAAAGCAACAGTGTGGAAGAATGTGCGATAATGAGAAAATGGTTAGAAGATTTGTAACAAAGTCCATTTCTTGGCTGAAAAGCTGAAATAAATATATATATCTTTTTTCGTAAAGAACGTATTGATAAATTTGATCACTATCAAAGATTTATTTAAAAAAAACAGTGATGACAATACTTTTGAATTTAATTTAATTTTATAAAATTCTTACTCTTGTTGAGACTGTAATTGGTCATGAAAATTATTCCGTTTACAAATATTAGCCACAAGAGATTTCCATGTGATATGTAAGCCTTTGTGTTCTGCGTGTAGGGTTTCTAAATCTGTATTTACATCGATTATCATTCTATTAGTATCTTCCTTTTCTCTGTCTTTAATCTGTAATTGCTCATCCAAATGTGCTATGTCTGCTTCGATTCTCCACACTTCTTCCTTTAATTGATACAAAATAAAATCTCGTTGCTGTTTCTTATTGATTAACGTCTTCCTTTTATTGGTATCTTGCGATGATATCTGTTTTGACTTTTTTAAATAATCATTTAAATCTTTTTCCCATTTAGACAAATAACTATAGAGAGCCAGCAAATTGTTTAACTTTTGAGAAAGCTCTTCTTTTTTGTTTTTTTCTTCCTTTAATTTACAACTATGTTCTTTCAAAGCATTTTTAGCATCTTCTATACTCTGACATCTTTTTTCTCTTAACAATGTGAGTTGTGACAATGCTTCTATATATTGTAGTATTATTGTATGTTGATGGTCAATTTCTTGTTGAGTTTGGTATAAATGTACACCTTTGAATTCTAATTCCTCTTCTGATTGTTTTATCGATGTTTCCTAAAAATATGCAATCAAAAGTCAATGTTCTTAGTGCGTTATTAATCACAATATACTAAATATAAGTTAACAAAGTACAATAACAATTTCACATCAAATAAGAAACTAGAACAAAAAGAATGTGAATTTTTATGTGTATAACAAGTGTCTCACAAGTTTATATATTTCTTCCGAAAGTCTGTTATTAACATCTGTTAAATGTGTATGAAACGTTTCTTGAAATTTCTTCATTAATTTGTCATCTGGATCAAGAATATCCAATGCAGCCGTTTCAGTCAAATCCATTTTAATAACTTTTATTATACGATCTATGGTTACTTTGGAAATAATTCTTCTGTGTAACAATAATGAAGAGATATATTTATTAACAGTGTTGATATTGAAATTTTAAGTTACTTTTGTATTACCAGCGCAAGGTATTGACATTACAATTCTCTTAAATCGACGCGGTAACTATGGCAACACTTCTAAATGCCATAACATCACCTCTCACTAAGCCGCTCAGTGAGCGGATTTTAGTAACAGTGGCGTCATTGGGCATCGGTGGGAAAACGTCCAAGTTTGTAGCGAAAATGATTCCCATTGTTTTTGTAGGATGACACTACCGATATCTACTTTTTAATCAGCAACAATGATCGAAACTTTATCGATAACTACTATATCGTAGTGTTATAATTCTTTGAAATTGTCTAATATGTTCGCGATATGATAAACGATCCACAAGGAGCTTAGCTGAATGGTCCTAGCACAGGGTAATGCAATGAAATACAATAATACAATTGTATACGTGTGAAAGTCAGCAGCAATCTGTACGAGGACATTTTGGTAAATTAGAAGAGTAGCAAGGAGCATAGGTGGATTCTCCACACGTAGAACGAATACAATATCGCACGCAGGAAGCTGGTGATATTATTTTCTGACAATGAGATGTTGGACAATACGGAGGGAATGGTCCAGCGAGTGCTGGACAAGGACCAGCAATACATAGGGTAGGTGGTCGAGATGGTGGTTCTGGTCGTGGTCTGCATATCTACGGATCCAATTATTACTTTTACTCAAAGTCAATAAATGCATAATCCAAATAATTCATAAGATATTCGATTTGAACAACTTGTATTGGTGACCAGTGAACCAGTTGAATCGCATACCAAAGGTGGGCACGAATTAGTAGGATAACAGCAAATTAGAGGTGGGCATTCTTGTATAGGGGGACAGCCATATTTAGGCCAAACGTATGGCAATGGTTTAGGACCATGACAACACAGTGGTGGTAGTGTGCTGGTTCTTTTTATCTCCTGACGACAGTACATTATTTTATTATAATAAAATTATAATGGAATAATCCATAACGACTTGAAAATATAATGACTGTATTACGCAACAAATTTTGACGGAATTCACGCAATGAATATACGTTCTTTTACATTCGTTCGTAATCGATTACATGTTTCTTCTGTTCTTTAAATTCACATCTATGTAGTAGGAACATGTACGTAAAATGTGTATACGTGTCGTGATTAGTATGCATTCGTGTTTTTTCGTGGTATGCTTACTATTTATAATCACATGAGAAATACAAAATAACGAGAACATAATTTAACGGAAATATTCAGGAACAGGTTTTCCATAGCAATCGAACCATTTCAGACAACAATTAACTGTTTTCACTGGCGGTTTCGCGGGAGGCTGGCAATATACCGGACGTGGATAATAACAAGGTGAATATGTGGCACTGTTAAGAAAATAATAATATCGATATTCTTCCTGGAGAAATTTATTATTTTTAATATCAATATTGTTTGACGACTTTAACTGTACGCATACCTATCGCAAGTATACGTAAGCTGAAAACAAACTGCAGACGTGCCAGTGGCAGGTGGTTGAACATTTGGACACCTTGGGCATCCTGGACCTATGATGGATCTCGAAGAACATCGAGAAGATACGCTGGGTGGATACCTAACCAATGCATCTTCCACAGTTGTCATTTTTCGATACAATTCGTTCTTTGCTTTTTCTCTTACGCAGTGCAATTTAAATTTCTCTTTTGTAATAGAATAAAATAGAGGATACTAACACTGATAATTTTTTTAATTATTGAAGAAATCCTATGGGATCGAAAAAAAAGTAAAGGATACCGAAAAACCGAAGGTTATTCGGATCAACTTGAATTTAGCCCATTCTCAAATGTATGTATATAGTACACTTTATAATGATAAAGAAAAAAATTGTACGCTTCGTTGATGTTCCTCGTTAGTGCTGTAAAATAAACCGATACGGGTTGTAATCAAATAGTTATTTGAATCGGACTCGAATCAATTCGCTACGCTTCAAGTTCAGAATTATTCTTTTATAAATAAAAACATACAGAACCATCATAAATATGTAGGTGAAGATAGAAACAATAAGAGAAACAATTTGGTAATCACAACAGATATTATAATAAATCGTATCTATACAGAGGCAGATACATTGTAAAACGAACAAGGATACTTTCACGTAACAACACGCAGTCGTACATTGATCCAGGAATCGATCGGCGTCACTATGTACAACACAACCACGGAAGCGTGCACGATGGTACTGTTAAATAACTTCGCGGTGAGCGCGGTTTGCACATTTCAATTTGGCACGCGGTGCACCTATTTGCCTGTTATTCCAATCTCCCTGTGTGTACTTAAGAGTTAAACCAATCGTAAATGCACTAGTCTCCTTCGGTTGAACGAAACACTGGAATGCGTCTTGACTGACGACTGTCCTGTCTACCAAAAGTTTTAGTTTCGAAACAACGCGAGTTACTTTTCATTACTCGGATTCCAAAAAAGGAACATATAAAAGAAAACTATGCAGGACTAGAAACCAGCCAAGATGCCCTGTTTACGATTTCAATCCTAGTCAAATAAACCTGAACAAATAATTATCATGTATCGATACAAAAACAAGTTGTAAAAAAAAAAAAAAGGAAAACAAAGAGAGAAGAGAAAAAAACAATAAGTACTTAGGCGATAATGTTATGTAACGAATCACTGTACTGCATTGTATATGCATTATCGGTTCCCTGACGACCCCCTCCCCACCCTAGCCCTATCTATTATCCGAGGGAACTCGAAGAGCGGAATTCGTTGACAGGAATAAAGACTCGCGATGTCCACGACGTCGATTATCGCGTTCATCACCAATGAAAAATGAAAACGAGCAGCGTTTATACTAATATTTTAAGTACATCCCAACTGAACCAACAAAACCAACAAAAGTTTTGATTTTTACAATTTCCTGCGGCGAGTACCCGATGATTACGCTTGTGCTACTTCCATAACGTTCCGTTTCATTATTCATTTATTCGGTTGCTTTTGATTTACGGGACGGAGAGAAGGCGACTCGAACGATCGAGCGCAACCTCACCGATCGAGAACGATATCGGTGACTACCGTGTAACGAGCGTCGTTCGCGTGTTTCCGTCTCTGGCTGACGAAGGATCATCCTCCTCATAAGTAGCTATCACCGAACGTGGAAGCAACGTTTTGTGCTGATAAACGCTATCGAACTAGAATATTTACAAGATAACTTATCGTTACAACTTAATAAAACCTCGGTAACGAAGAACGCCTTTTAACAACTTCTGCACACACACACACACACACACACACACACACATACACGCACGTTCACTTTCTCCCTCTCTTTCGTTCTCCGTTCCTTGCATTATCAATTTAAATAACTAATTTATGTACAGCGCGTGCGCACACGAGTCGTCAAAATAACGATCGAACACGTACCCCCTTTTCCCCATCATCGACGAAATCGTTCTATTTCATTGATATCACCGACTTTCTTCCTCCTCTTTCGAAATAATCTATTCTCTCCCCCTTACCGTATGGCATGCCCTATTATAGTAGCCCCCAAGTAATTTTCAACATCGGACCGTCCAAAGAAAGATTATTCACAACTAAGCGAATTAAAGCGAACAATCGACCAAAAGCTGCCCGAAATAGCTAACGGAAAGAGCACTGCATCCCATCGAGACAATGCCTAGGAATTCGGAATGCATAAAAATGGGACGATTGTTTGCAACAAGCCAATGCATAGGACGCGGGAAGCGTTCTCGAGTCTCTACTGTGACCTCTGTATCCGTCCAAGCCTCTGAGAATGAGAGTGACGTAAGTCGAAGAATTTGGACAATTAGGTTATCTCCATACCCCGGTTCTTTATATTAAGTACTTTGAAAGCGCTAATTTCTTTGAATCGGGATAAAATCTACTCGCGTCCCTCTCACTTTTAGAAATTCATTTAACGAGCGATATACACTATAACAATCAGTAACGTATATAGTTTATGTCAGAAGTTGACGCTGTATATCGTTTTTCTCGTTTCTTGTCGTGAATATCGTTTTGTCCTTAGGGGAAGCACCGTTTGTGTCATAGTTGTGCGGACCAAATCGTTCAGCGAGCGCTAATCCGTCTGCCTAGTCCTCGTTACGATAAATACGATTCGTTCGCACGCACGATATTAGACAACGATAGCGTGGAACGTACTGATTCTAAAAACTTCAACATCTAATTATTACTTAAGTAACTAGTTGTGTGTAGATTTGTGTACATTACGTCGGCTTGGAAACGATAGATTCTGTACTATTCAAGCTCGCCAACGCTTCCTCCGCTTGTATATTGAATTAATAAATTAATAATAAAACATTCAAAATACCCGTTCGAATCCGCCCTCGCATTAAGTACTGGCCATATATCGTATGTCTGTCACGGTCTTTCAAGATGTTCAACCATTTACGTGTGCTCGTCGATTTCACTTTCTTTAGCCATCTATCTGGTTCGCGTAGCTATCTCTCTTTTGTCGTGAACGGAACTCTTCAATTCCTGGTACTCGGGTCGATTTTTTCGTTTACACCGTTTCTCGACTGTTATCGCTGTAAACGAAAATATTTCTTGCCACGTAGCCGGGACTAAACTACTTACATCTTATTTTTCATTTCTTTTTTTTTTTTTTTCGTCATTTTGTCATTTTCGTCGAAACATTTGTGGTGCAGCAAAAATCTTGGAGTGCGTGCAAATTTTGTTTCTTCATGCAGAAAGACGGGAATCGTTTTGAGCCTAAACTACTCGAGATTATTGTACACCTCGTTTATAAGTTTATCTCGCGATAGACATTTAAATATGTTATCGATACCAGCGACGTCTAATTTGGCCCGCAAGCGAGTGTGCGACAATATTTGAAACGTTATCTTCGACCGATCGACGAGCTTCGTCGTACCCATCTTAAACGGTGACCATCGCGGTGGTCCCTTTCTTGTTGTATTTCTATTCGCTTCGCGTATACATTTAATTTGAGGTCATTGATAGGCTGTGTGCGTAATCTACTCGTCTAAAGAATGTTGCGGGTACGTGTTTTTGTGCGAATTCTTTCTCTATCGTCATCGCTACTAGATATCTCTTCGAGATCGACGCATCTTCCGTTCTTCGCTCCTTCTCGCATTTCGAGGTGCTGGCTCGGGCAATCGACCAGACCGGAATCTTAACAAGGATGTACCGTAGTTCCGAGCATGCGACTGGTCGAAATGCGAACGAACACTTGATCGTCATTATGTACTAGAACGGAAGAACTTGGCAACGCTGTTGATAAACTCTTGGCGCTACAATTGCACCTGAAACGCTTGCGTCGCGTTTGGCATTATGAAAGGATTCGTCGTGCTGGCCTGACGCAGATTTCTCGCTGCGATCTCGGCCCACTCGGCATCGAAGGGATCGGATGGACCAGTCCTGGTAGCTTGTCCCATCGCAGCCGATCCAAGCGAGAGGGCTCTCGCGTGAAGCGGTGGCGCTCGTCGAGGACTGGTCTGACCCTGTAAAGGAGATTGCACTGATGACGGTACCGCTCCGGTTATACTTCCCAGCCATTGCTCTGGTTTCGGCAATGATGCTGTCGTCGCAACTGGTTGTACCTGAACGCAATCGTGGAGAAACGTGAAATTTCTTATCAACGCTGTGACACGTACCCGTTGACACGTGCTTTCGTAAAATTTGAAAAGACTCACCGATGCGTTGGAAATCGCATTTGCTACCGAGGTTTGATTGACTTGGCTAGCATCGGTAGCGATACTAGCAGACAAAGCTGGAGAAGAGGAGGCTACACTGGTGGTTGGCGAGGTTGTTTTCGGAGTCACCGTAGAGTTCGTAGGAATCGGTGACCTATTTACAGCTGGCGTGGACGCGTTTCCCAAGGAGGATGTGGATGCTGTGCTAAAAGCAGGACTGGCCGAAGGTGGTGTACCAAATACACCAACGGTGGTGGTAGATGCCGGGGTACTCATCACGATTGGAGTAGTCGCACTTGTTCTTGGAAGGATAGGACTAAGATTGGTAGTTTTATTTAGGATCGGCGTAAGTCTATGATTCGAAGCCAGAACGGGTGACGGTGACTCTTTCCAAGTGGGTCCAATGTGATTCAAATTACTGAGATCTTCGTTCTTGTCGTTCTTGTCGTTATTGTTGTTGTTGTTGTTGTTGTTGTTATTGTTGTTGTTGAGACTCGGTCCATTCTGCAACTTCAACTCATCCAACGAGTTACTGCTTGTCACTGTAACAAAATATAGTCACCAGTGATAACGTACAAAGTGTACACACGTTTGTTCGTGCTATAAATGAATCCGACTCGAGGATTACGCGGACGTTTCCGTTAATCGACCTTACAAAATGACTATACCTGGTGAAGTGTTATTCACAATAGTGCTTGTAAAAAGTTGTTTAGCAACAGAGCTTGTGCTGCTCTGGCTGGGCATTGGTCCGAAGTCGTCGCAGCTCGAAAGAAGTGAAAGCCCTTGCGAGAGCTGCTGACACATTGCCGAAACGCTATCTTGAACCCCTGGCGATAGCTCGGGTATCGGGCTAACTGTAAGAAAAAGCACAATCTCGATATTAATTACTCCAGATAACAAAGGTTATCGATGAATTAAATTTGGTGCTTTGAATTGGTGCTAAAAACTACGAAATGCATGCTGCACGACACGTAAATACCTGTTACAAATATCGAACGGAAGTATACAATTGGACAATTTAGGAACGGAAAATGTAAAGCGTAGAAACAATACGTCGCAAAAACAGGAACAAACCATGTTTTTCTTCTAACACGAGAACATTGAAAATACAACTACACGAAACCACTAACTACATCATCGCTATCGTAAAGAACATCATCCCCACTCTTACTGTGTCTTCTACTCCTTTATATTGGGTTAACTCCATATGTAAATGTATACACTGCGACAAGGAAGTAGCAAGACTGAAACGTTATACCTATTTTCTAAAAGGTAAAAGTTCTTTCAACTTTATACGTTCGTATGGTACATACATTTATTTGAATTCAGTCCCGTTACCTCCTCGATGCATGAATAGACATTTGAACGTGTACGTGAAACTATAGCATAATCCAAAAACACTGAAGTAGGGGCAGGCAATATGGACAGTTAACAGAATAGGGAATAATGACCTTCGTCATATCCTTCGAATTCTGTTGTAAAAATGAACAAGTACATTATTCGATGTCCAAACTGACCTGAGACTGTTAACGTATATCACTTTTCACGATTGATTAACGCGCGGGACATGCGGCGAAAAGTATAGATCAACAAACATATCCATCGGAATCGCTTCTCTATCGCGAGGATAAATTCTAATTACCTGGCGGTTTCAAAGGTACGATGTGAGACATTGTTGGCGGCATTCGTGACAAATCTGTCGGCTCGAGACTGTGGCTACGCGTTCGTTCAAGGTTGCTAGGAAGATCGTTGACTCGTAAGCTGAGCTGTCTTTTGAACGGAGATGCTTGATTCAGTTGCGTAAAACCGCGGAAGGAACCTTGTCGTTCTAGCATCGACGGGGTAGCGTGTGGTCTCTCGATCGCAAAAGGATTGTACACCTGCTTCAACGGGGGTACATCTGCAAGCAAACGAAATACTGTAGTTTAGTACGACACTATCAGGGGTTTAATTCGAGAAAAGTGATAGAGTCGAAGAGGAGAAATAACTGACCAACAGCTCGTTCTCGCGCATCCTGCAATCGTTCGGTAAGGCTCGGTTGCCTAAAACTGCCGCTCCTCGTAAAGGTCGAGGTTTTCGAATCAAATGTCATCGTGACACCGCATTCCTTGTCCCTTCGCTGTTTCCTTTCCAGACACGCAGCAAAAGCGCAGCCTACCGCATGACTCAACCGTTCACCCTGAAGAGAGTTTAAACGAAATAATGATTTGTTTTGTATCGCATTAGTTTTGGTCACTTTACGACTGTTGGTTGCGAGTTGAAATTTACCGATTCTTTTAACGCCAAAAATCCGTGGCACATCCACCGTCTGGTCGTTCCATCTCTACAAATGTAACTAAAACCTTTCTCGTGATTCCGATCTGGTGCACAGAACGAAACTTTTTCTATCGTTTGGTCGACGATCAGCCCTTTCGTCTCGTCTTCGACGACCCGCAAACCATCCCCGGATACGTGCAACACTGCGCGAACCGGCCGCCGTCTCGAATTCTATCGATTCATCGCGAAAATAAAAGATTAATTTTTTCGATACGGCTTGTCGTGAATCATCGTATCGAATGCGTGAAATGTTATTTGCCACTTACTCTAAGTACTTTCAGGGCTTCTTCGCATACTTGCATGCCCCTCGACTCGAACACCTCAACACATCCCAGGTACTGCACAGGTCAGATTGATTGAGTTAGACGATCAATAGTGTGAAGCTTGATAAATATATGTCGTAGAAGCTTAATTTCCAGTGTGTCTTCAACTACACCAATAAAATTTCTTAATTAAACAGTTTGAATCGGGTCGCATGGCGATCTTGACTATAAGAAGAGAAAGGTGCGAACATATTCGAAAATATAAATGTTAAATTTAAATTTGTTCGAATTGGGAAAAAAATACCTAATTAGTACGAAAGAACGAATGGTACAATAGTTGAACTTCAATTATCTAGGCAGGATTATCTTGATGTCAATTAGTTGATTACCTATTACCCGATTCTCAATTAGTCGAATATACAGCCAAAAATGTTTGTACAATCGTTGATTAAATTATTAGCGGCACAGGCATCTTATTTTCCTCGAGTTTAGTTGTCGTTCCAATGCTTCGCAGGCTACTCGAAACATTTACACAGTCTATAGAAATCGTTTTATCGATAAAACAACTCTTTTATCAACGCAAAAAAGAAACTGGAAACAATAAGCCGATATGTCGAATATTTTCTTTACAAGTTCACCATTTCGTACACGGTTTAGATATACTAATGATTATACATATAGTCTACTTTGTGTACAGAGTGGAAACTGTTGAGAAGCGACGATAATCGTAATTTTGTTCTTTCTCGAACGAAACTCTCTGGTTTGCCCGAGTAGTAATCGATCTTGTATCGTGTTTCTATGTCGAGACTCGATAGTGGAAAGAAACGTCCAAGATTGTACCTTAACATGGAAGGCGCACGTAGCTGAACGGACAGCTGTCTCGTCTGCTTGCCATTGATGGGGTTTACTCGATTCTGGTACGTGAGGATCTTTCCGGCGTCGAAAGCTATCCCGAAAACTCCGCCGAAGTCGGTCCATTCTTTTTCCCGGTGACCTCTCACGCTTCTGCAAAAATACCAAGAAAAAAAGCACGATTCGTTATCCCTTGGGAACCATAAATTTAGCTGATCGACCGAATTAACGTTAAAAATACATTGCATTCGTTCGAACAAAAGTTACCCATCTCTGATTTAAATTGATCGTCGTGTGTCGGGAGATGTTGAGAAAATAGTTAGGAAAAAGCAAGCAGTGTCTGGCAACGGTCGCGAGTCGAGGTCTTACAAAGACCTGTGATCGAATCTTGGCCTCGGTTCCCAAAGAATCTTTTATATCGGAACCCTCTGCGAGTTCTCCCCTAGTACGGACTCGTGCATCTACCCCTCTAAATCGGTACCCCTAAGGGTAGCTACAGACTTGAGCTAAGCGCCGAGTCGGACCACCTAAAGCTACCAATTCTCCTGGTGAATCCCGCACACGTGATGCATTTTACGGGCTGCTTCAAATTTTAAAGAGTATCCATGATCGAATCCAAAATCAGTGTTACGGTTACGTACCGTTCAGAACCATCGTGTATCTCCGAGAAGGTGAACAAATTCCACCGCATCGGTAAATTAATCGCAATTAATTATTTTGTGCATAGCAAATATGTATGTATATTCATTTATTTACTCGATCACCTTGATTTCAATTTTCATCCCAATCACTTACCGATAAAAGCATTTTGAATCATAAATGGTTTACGGATGCAATTTAATCTGTGCTTTTAGCGATAAACCAACGAATCCGCGTTTCGCCAAGGAAATAAAAGTTTTGTTTTTAATGTGTAGCGTGCCAGCGAATTCGAATAGTTGATACTTTAACCTAATATATTCACCTATACGACTTCATTAAATTATTCGAAGCGAAGATAAGAGTATGACATTATCTCGCTTTTAATATACGGAAACGTGCTAACCTAGGCTTATACGATCCTTGCACGCCAGATAAGGAATATCAACGAAATCATCTGATGCGAGCGTTTCCCTCCTGCGGTAGCGGCTGTACTGTACATATCTTACTCTCAAGCTTGTGTGCGGCGGCGTCTGTCTAGTGGGAAGGGCCGCACTCGAGGGAGCATTCTTTTTCATCCAGGCTTTTCATCGTACCACTTTATCCACCTCGTTGAATGGAATAAATAGCGACGTGATTTTGGACCGTTCGCGACCTCCGAAAACATTCATTCGTTGACCCTTTCGCGATGGATTAAAATTGTGGGAAACGGTTTCGAATATTAAAGGATTATCATCGCTGATACTAGCCGAGGCTTTCGGGTGTAAGAATCTCAAAGAAATGGAAAACTATGGTACATTCGTAAATAAAATCAACGACTACAGGTATAAATACCCCATCTAGACGTTCCGGGTGTAGGCGTTCTCCAGACTATTCGGCGATATTTGATCGAATAACACGCGCGATTCCCAGAAACTCGTTGGAAATCCAAGCAAATATTAAATATTATCACGTACGCGCAACGATCCACTTTTGCGAGAATGGGTACTCGTTCATGGAACAACAATAAGGCTGCGCAACTGTGTATATACTACTGGCTGCACCAGAGAAACGATACGGCGCTATGATAACAACAGGACCGTACCGGAACAAGGACGTTTCATTTTTATTTTCTTTATTTCTTTAAGCGATTGCGATCACACAAGGACCCGCTAATGGTTAAAACGTGCGAAAGTAAGCACTCTCGACGCAATCGGATTACTCAGCTGTTTGGTTAGCGCGGTAATAGGCTTAGCAATGCGTTAGAGGAAAACGGTGAAGTGGATTGTCGTGACGCGAGTCACGTGCGTATATCTCTACTCCGAAAGAGATAATCGCTCCAAAAGTATCGATAAGTGCCATACGGCACGGAATTACAGAGTCTTCCTGTCACGAGTATCGTGCAACTGATATTTCATGATTACTTTATGATAGAAAATGTCTAGGAAAAACACCAGTTTTTGGGACGAGAACGTAAAGTAAGTTGAATTCAATTGAATTAGACTCGGTTACTGCTCGACCCGGTCTAAGTACTTAGTCACAACGCCGCTATTCAATTCTCAGCGAACTCTAACTTGAACTAAAGGTCTCGATTTATACAGACTAATGTATCCAACAATAACGCGTCCTTTGAATATTTTTTCGCGTGGCTAAGATGCGTATCTATTAAGAGGGGACTGAAGAATAAGGAAAAAATTCGAAAAACCTCAAATGACGATGAGTAAGCAGATTGAGAACGAAGCCGTGTATAATACGAAGGACTGAAGTGAATCATTGAGTTGGCTTGTGCGGCACGCTCTGTTCGATACCTCTGACAAGACTACAACTTTCTTTTGCTGAAACTTTGGCTGTGAGTCGGACGATGAGTAACTTGACAACCATCCAGAAATTCACGCTTTACGAGAAATAACTAACAAATAAAAAAATTACAGAAATATCCACGACAAGTATTCAACTTTGCGACATTACGCAAGTCCAGTCTTTAATTACTGATCGGAAACATTGATGACAAGACAGTAGGTAGTTAAGGACTCGTTTGCTTTCTAAGGGTGCTTTTAATATCGATCTTTCGGCTCGAGGAATGCCGTGTGAACTCTTTGGTTCGCTAACAGCAGGAAATTGCAGGGGCTAGATCGACCTGCCTACGTTTTGACATGCACGAGCTGTCTGCATGCACGCACAATAAACACAGATCACAGATGCATTCTCCATCGCCATATTTCCTTTCACGCCTCAAGGTCGAGCCCATTGATTACAATAAGTATTCGATGTTGGATAAAATGCCACGCATGTTGGAACGCATTCGAGACACGCTAAAACGATCCATTACACGAACCTGCTCTTCCTTGAAACAATGGCGCATTTAGTCTTCAACATATCACTGAAAGCGCATTACTTCGAAGCCAAAAGAAACCCTGGCTATTCGAATGATTGATAAAGTGTTCCTGGCATACGAGTGGAAGGCGTAGTAAAAACGAGGCGTCCTAAAAGAATCTGAATGATGCTTTGCCAGAGCTCTCCTGGCATTTCTTACTTTGGGGGCTACGTGCCAATCGAAGACATGGATCTTCAGGCCTCTAACGATGTATCGTGACCTAGAAAAACTGTACCTAGTGAAAGCTGGCATACATTCGTGCAACCCTACTACAGGTTCGTCGGCCGCAGCTCGAGACACTGGATTCTATTAATGCTTTTCGTAACGATACTCTAGACAGGACAGCATAGACGGTGGTACATTTGGTCAACAACATTCAAATCGACTTTTTATATTGAAAATATTTTAAATAGCCTTCTATTTCTCAGGCTTTCCAGTAACGAACATTTCCCACAATGCAGCGTTAATTACACTAATTACAGCAACGTGGGCTAACCGAGTTTTCTTATAATCGGCTATTGTTTCTCTCTGCTTAAAGGATACATTCAATAGTGTAATTAGCACAATTACTTTCTCGGTTGTGGTTCAGACAAGATAGCGAAGGTTACCTTGTTCTCGCTATACAAGACATTGGTGATATTCGATGCAGAACATTCGTTATTTCAAAAATACGTCTCTAACTGTCTGAATAGCGTGACAAATAATTTTGTAGTGTCACGGCGGAACACAGAAGTATATTCGACATTGCCTGAAATGGCAGCGGCAAATATCTGCCAACGAGTACTCGATCCTTTCACCGAGACAGGTGTTGTACGTTGCAACGTAGGTAGAAGTAGGTACGCCATACAATGCGCGATGTTATTCACAGGACAATAACGCAAACGCCTCGTTGCATATGCGATTCCGAACTTCGTCTCGGTGCCGGTGGAATGTATACCATGGTTTACACACGATGGATACACGATGAGAATTACGTAGAAATGGACGAAATTTTATTCAAGTAGAATAAAGAGTAAATGCAAAAAGCTTCGGGTTTTATCGCTAATGATTTTCATCGCCAAGTTTTCGATAGGTTTTCCAATATTGCGGAGCATTGGAATTCGCGTCGGGTACAGGTACGAAGAAGCGAACGCGAATAATGGTCAAGTATTTAAACGTCTTCAAAAATCAATGCGACAACGATGTCGAGTTTGTTCCCTTTCTCGAGCCACCCTAAAGCGGCGATCTTAACGTATGACTTTAAAAGGCTGTAATACGAAAAATACTCTCGTTTTTTCGCACGATTCATCTCTTTTATTCTCGGGTGCATCTACCGCGATGTAAGTACAGGTTTTTTTTAGGAAAGGGTTGTCGCGTCCATAGCACGCATAGTTTGTTTATACCGATCTGCCCCTACGATTACCATCCCGTTCAAAATGCGCTCGGCCGGTTCCTGACCTCCCCTTGTTAGTTTCATTCGATGCACTGCGTCTCGAGTCATTTTGTGAGAGCGACGAATATAAAGAGTGAGTGAAACAGAGAGGGAGAGAGTTAATTCGCGTTGATAATTCCGAGACACCCTATAGAAATCCGGATCTCTTTCTCTCGGTCGCTATCAAGCGGACGGACATCGACGCGTAGCACCAGTTATCCTTGGAGTTCGATCCCCCTCGTTGCTTTTTTAAGGAGTATGCGTGGCTGTAAACGTACATGCTGTATGTACTGTACACGCACGTCCAATGATTCCAATGGTTTATGCGTGTCGCGTATCACACGATTCAAACGTAATCACAAAACGCCAACCGTATCTGCAATTTGACTAACTTCTTCCCTGATAACGCCTAGCTAACGATCAATTTTTCGTTATTTCTTTTACCAAGTATCGTATTTTTTATACTTTTAAGAAGTATCTTATTAAAAGGACACGGTTTGTACCCGGAGTTCTCGGTTGGTATAAACCGTTGTTGAAGTCACGGTGTTACTTGGAGCACTTCTGGCTTGTTACCACTTCTGGCAACATTTCAGTTGCACTTCCTGAATGATTACGCGCGTATCGCCGGTTTGTCGCGATGGAAAGCGATGCAGCGATCGAGAGAAAGCAACTGCGCTCTCGAGACGCGGCTCGAGAGACCAAATGTCGGGTACTTGGAGGCAACCGGAAGCCATACGGACGCGTTTTAACGAA